CTAGTGTTTTTCTTTTTCTCAATGAAAAAGTTTTCTCAAATTTTCTTCCACACAATATCCTCTTTCGTTTTTTCTACACGGATACATGCACATTCCTTCAAGTAATTTATTGATCTATGTATTTACATATTTTAATTTATTGATCTATGTACTTATATATTTTGATTTGGTTGAATTCTAGGGTTCGAAATTTGATTGTTTCATAGAGAAATTTACAATTTATGCTTTCATTCTTGATGAACTTATCTAGCTCTTCAAAGGCTGAAAATTACTAGTGATACTCTTGAAGGCTATGGTAAAGAATGGGAAAAATAATCCACATATAAATATTAATTTGTTTTTTCTTTTTCGTTTTTCTCCTTTTTTTTCTCTATAAATAAAAAAAAATCTTATCCTATACACAGTACATATGTTATTTGATACACAAAAAGCTTGAATCTTCCGTTATCCTTTGCTCGGTCTGATTCACATTATTATGCTATTTCTCTAGTGTTCGACGTTTCAAACATTGCTCGAATGCATCGCATTGCTAATCTGTAAGCATTAAAAAACATACAAATGGAATATATATATATGGATATCACATCTCCTTAGAAAACTTTGTTTGTACGTACAACCTTTAACGGATCAAAAATAAATTTTTCCTAAAAAATCATTTAATGCGTACCTCATGGCTGTCATGTTGGTCTTCACCTGCATTTTTCTAACTATTTTCCGTCCAAAATTTGCTTTTAGAATATCTTTTGCGGTTGTTCTTCTGATTGGAATGGTATTGTCTAGACAACGTTCACCCGACATTGTCCAAACTTGGAAATTTTCTGCAAAAGTGTTGTCGCTTGATGGTGCTTTGGGTGGTTTCTGTATTATTCGAAAAGATACAAGTCATGTTAAACTATTAATTCTATCTGAAAAAAACTCTATGATTAAGTGTTCACCGTGATTGTTTTCTGTCCTTTTAACAAAGAATGATCAAAAGCTGGCTGTAAATGGAATGGTACACAGTCTATGATGTCGCCATCAGGACTCTGTAGCCAAAAATAAATAAAAAGGGTGAGATAAAATTTATAACATCTATATCTTTATCTTTATATATATAAAGAGACAACCTATTTACTGAAAAATCGGACAGTATGAAACGTCACATCTACCTTCTTAACTTATAAGAAAATAAGAGACTTGCTTTAAAATGCGACACGTGGCTATTCTCTTCTGCGGCCTTTTGGCTTCTCCTTTCCTCCGATTTTTTCTTTCTTTTTGCTTCTCATTTCCTACGATTTTTTTATTTTCTTTATACGGTCAGGAAGGCACTGGAAGCTCCATTTTAATAATCCCCCTCAAATTCTTCTCCCCGAAACCCTAATTCCCCCACAAATTACGAACCCCCAAATTCTCATCCGGCGAGACTCCCTCAGCCCCCGCCGCCGCGGTAGCAAGAAATCCCACCCCACCGCGTTGACACCTCCGTCTTCTTCATCCAAGAAGAACCCAAGCGGCCCACCAAAGCAAACGAAGCCCCGAGCACCCCCGCTGTTTCCGACCAAATCCCCGACGCTGACAACGCTGAAACGAGCTGTACGACTTAGACGATAGCGTGGACTTCATCCGCCACTGGACTCTGGAATTTACAGAATAAAAATGCTATCTTTATTCTTTTTTTTTTTTTCCCGTTTTGCTTTGTTTATGTGGGTTCTGTTGATGGGATTTTGACAAGATGAATTGTTATTGGTGGTTGGCGGTTGGATTAATTGATCATTGTACTAATTTGGGTCTTCTTCTTTTGTGAATATTTGATTATAATTGTGATTTTTTTCCATTTTTTCATTTTGGGATTGGATTTGTGTGCTGTGGATTGGATGTGCTCTTGATTAAGTAGAAAGAAATTTTCTTGATTTGAGAGTTTAATTGATCATTTGTGTTTTTGTGTGTTTGATCATGAACTTCGTTGATTTTGGGGGTTTGAGCAATTGACCATACGTAGCTCATTGTCTTCATATTTACTTCCTGACTTCATGTGTCTTGGTTGTTAACAGGGTGACCATTTTCCATGAAATGCATTGTTTAAAGCTTGTTTTTGTCTTGTAATCGACGAGATGCTGGAGACGGTCCAGCGAGTTAGACTCGTGCTTCACCAGAAGGAAGAAAGCATGCAGGAGGAGTGCACTAGACCCCAGCGAGCGAGGGTCCCGTAGGCGGGATTCTTTTCAGAGAAACTGTGGCGTGCAGAGTCAATGGTGGCTCTCTCGCTTTAGAAATCATGGTTGTTGATTTCGAGGAGCGGGCTGAGAGCAGTTTGGTCGCAGGCTACAATTTCAGGCCAAGTTTTTCTTCACCTTTTTTTTTGTTTAGTTTAAATTATTTTATCTTTTGATGGACTGAATACGCACAACAATCACGGGCCGATCATCGTCGAGCCTCTCCAGCAACTCGGTGCTCCTGCGGGCCGGCAGCCCTATTGCCACCATCACTTCACGCACGCTACGGGCCCACCTGAGCCATGCGATAGGTAGCATCTCCACAGGAAACGCTTGTAGGTTTGGGGAAATCTCGCATCAGAGACCAGACCACAGGCAGTCGGGCATCAATCGACCGAGTCAGCATCAAGCTGCACCTATTCGGAACCATAGGGTTGGTGTGGTAAAGAGCTTTCATTCTCTCCTTATAAATAAAGCTGCTTGTCATTTTTTTCTTTTCTTTTTTTCCTCTCATTTAATTGCTTCTTTAATACTCNTACACAAGAATCTATATGGCCTATTGGTTTAGTGGGCAGGCTTACCTCATTGAGACCTACGTTCGATTCCTCCCCTTAGCAAAAAAATTTAGTTTGTTCAATAAAGCACTGGAAGGTATAAAGGTAATTTATTAATTATGTAAAATACAAAAAATTGTAAAATTTTCGCAGGTATAGAAGGTGTTGTGCACGCGCCGTTAAGTTGGACGGAATGAGTGAATCGTGCAACAACTACTTAAATACAAAGGGGTGTCATGCGTTTTTTAAAACACAGGGTAGTAACGCGCCTATTTCGTATAACATAGGGGGGTTTGGCGCAATTTACCCTTTTATGAACATGTGTTGCCTTTCAAACACACATCTATACTCAATACAAATTCTGAAAACCTATTTCCCAAACCACCAGACTTTCAATATTCTGATAAATCCATTCATTCACCATCTTCTATCATACCTCCAGTGAATACTACTTCAACTCAACCTACTTCAACTCAACCTACTTCAACCAAACGTACTTCAACTCAACCTATCTTTCAGCCACAAAACTCACCTATTGATTTACATTCTCCACCACCAACAAACAACCAATCATCAGAACCTACTTCACCTTCTCCAACAACTAGACTCAGAAGATCCTCTAGGATCAAAAAACCTCCATCATATCTACAAATTTATAATCACTCCTTGCCACAATCCTCAAGTTCCACTTCTACAACACAATGACACATCTGGAACATCATATCCATTAATCAATTATCTGTCTACTGCATCTCTTTCTCATGATCATGCTTGTTTTACTATTGCAATCACTAATCATGCTGAACCTAAGACATATAAACAAGTTGCCTTAAATCCTCTTTGGCAAGAAGCCATGCATAAAGAAATCTCTACTCTTGAATAGACCAATACATGGAAGCTAGTTGCTTTACCTCCTAATCATCACTGCATAGGTTGCAAATGGGTATATAAAATTAAATACAAACCAGATGGTACAATAGAGAGGTACAAAGCTAGCTGGTAGCCAAAGGCTACACACAAGGGGAAGGTATTGATTATTTTGATATTTTCTCACCTGGTGCAAAAATTACCACTGTCAGAGTTCTTTTATGCATTGTTTCAATAAAAAATTGGCATATTTATCAATTAGATGTTAATAATGCTTTCTTACATGGTAATTTAGATGAAATTGTTTATATGTCCCCTCCCCATGGATACTTAATTGCTGGTGATAACAGAGTATGTCAATTAACAAAAAGTCTATATGGCTTGAAACAAGCCTCTAGACAATGGTTTCAAAAATTGACTACTTGTTTAATTGCATATGGCTTTACATAATCTACCTCCGATAGCTCTTTTTTTGTTTATTCATCATCTGAGTACACTTTAATACTCTTGTTTATGTTGATGACATAATAGTCACAGGTGACAATTTATCTGCTATTTCTGCTATTAAACAACACCTTGACTCTTGTTTCACTATAAAAGATTTGGGAACTTTGAAATACATTCTTGGTTTGGAAATTGCACAATCTAATAAGGGTATTCATTTATGCCAGAGAAAGTATGCATTAGATATTTTAAAAGATACTGGCTATTTAGATTGCAAACCTGCCAAAACTCCTATGGATCCCAATAGAAAATTATCTGCTGACAGTTTAACATGGACTCTATTCCTGTCAATGCTTCTGAGTATAGAATATTAGTAGGTAGATTGCTTTATTTAACCATCACCAGACCGAATTTTACTCACAATATTCATTGTTTAAGTCAGTTTGTTTCATGTCCCACACAACAACATGTGACTGCTGCCAACAGGGTTCTAAGGTATGTTAAGGGCACTATTGGACAAGGTATTCTCTATCCCAGAACTTCCAATTTAATTTTAAAAGGCTATAGTGACAGTGATTGGGCTGGTTGCCCTAATACAAGGAGAAGCATAACTGGTTATGCCTTTTTCATTGGTGATTCTTTGATTTCCTAGAAATCAAATAAACAACCCACTGTCAGCAGGTCTTCTGTAGAAGCAGAATACAGAGCTTTAGCTCTCACTACTTGTGAGGCTCAATGGCTTCTATATCTGCTTAAGGATCTGAATATTACTTACACTGCTCCTCTTTCTTTACTTTCAGATAGCAACTCTGCCATATCTCTTGCCAAAAATCCTGTCCATCATGATAGAACAAAGCACATCGAGATCGACTGCTATTTAATCAGGGAGAAGCTTTCCACAGGAGTCATCTCTCTACACTTTGTTCCTTCAGAAGGCCAGCTAGTAGACATACTTACAAAGGCACTCAGCCCTCAACCTTTTCATAACTACCTCTCCAAGATGAACATTGTAAATATATATGTTCTTCTTGCGGGGGATATTAGACCATAAAATCTATTTGGGCTGCAGTATTAAATTGTAATTTTAGGCTTTAGCATTTGGGCCTGTACACATTTTATATTCAGCCCCTTAACCATTAGGGTTATTATAAATAGATAAACTAGGGTTTTCTTCATTCATTATTAATTTTTCTTTTTCTCGTTTTCTCTCTCGAGCTCACATAACCTCTCTGTAATCTCTCCTCTCTTTTGTTAATTGTTCATCAGTGATAATGAAAATTTGATGTTTTGTTCATATCTCTATTGTAATAATTATCATTGAAATAAATAATTCAATATAGACCCTTAATATTGTCTATCTGCATAACATAATTTATTTACATAACAAAACTTCATAACAAAAAAGGAAATTAAAATTTTTATTTCTTACATATATAATACATTAAAATTTTATATTGCAAAAGTTAAAAATAATATCATTTTTGTTAAGAAAATAATAATTATTAACAAAATAATAATTCTATATTTGAAACTATTATTTTTTTTAATGATAATAAAATTCTATTTTCCTGTTCTATAAAAAAAAATCAAACAAAAAAAATCCTACTAAAAACTTTTGAATAAAAAAAAGTCTTTTTAAAAAGTAAAAACTATCTCTAATGAAACAAAAATTTACTATTAAAAAAAACTCAAATAAGCAAGAAAAATTAAAATCATAAAAAACAACATTATTTAATTAAATAAATATTTTTAATATTATACAATTAAAAAAACTTATTTTTAAAAAAAATAAAATTTTTTTTTTAAATTATATGGGCCGGCTGTGCTAAGCACAGCCGGTAAGTTTCTAGTAGAATTCATAATTGGTTTGGATTCTGAAAATTAAAATCTGAATTATTAAGGATATCTATTTTTCGAAACATGGTCTCTTATTTTTGAAATAGAGATAATCTATATTTTTTCAAGAGTTTAAATTGTGTATTTTTACGTAGACTATATTTCAAATATAAAGAGTATTTTCCAAATCAAAATTCTTAAGGAGAATTTGATTAATTACATTCTCTTTTCCTGCACAAATATAAATTACAAATATCCAGACATTGAATACGTCAAGAAAACTACTTTCGTACTTCACGATAAAGCTTTTGCGAAATAATAGAAGGAGCTTCAAGATATTAGTTTGTGACAATGATGAGTTGCCCAATAATCAAACTCATCATGTTGCGTACAAAAAGGTCTTTAATAATATATGATTTTTGTTTTGTCGAACATTATATTATTGTACAATTAGCCTACTTATTATAACTCTTTCATTTGTTTGTACGTCTCGAAATATAATATTCCTAAAATAAATACAGTTCGTGCATAACATGGGTCACACACTAGTGTAAATAGTAGAGAGTTAAATTTTCTTTTTGTATGTGTGAAAAACTAAAGTAAAACCCAAACACTTTCCCTCTACTTCTTAATTCTAAACGCGTTAATAAGAAACAAACATACAACGAACAATTCTAAGTATCAAATGCGACTTATATATGTTTATACTAAAGTCCAGAATTATCACTTCCATGTGGATGCTTATAGTTTCTCCTCTAGAAACTGAAACGTATATTCATCATTCGAGCCTTCTAGTATTCAAATTGCAAAGGATTCATTAAAAATGATGAGAAAACAGTGAGCAAGAAGAATATTCATCAGGACTGAAACTAATAAGAAATTTACCTGAATAGTTTTTACAGAAGGCTTGTTGATTTTATTCAAAAGGGCCTTGATGTTCTTCATCTTTTTCGACTGAAAATGATCAATAGAAAAAGATGAAGAATGTAAAGTGTTATTAGAATACGCTGATTGCACATGGCCAATAAAAGAGATTAAAACTAGAAAAAGGACAAAAATAGAAGTGATTGGGGAGGTAATGTTGCTACCATAATCCATTTTTGGGGAATTTGCAGTTGCTTTGGCTTTTTTTTGGCTTTTTTTAACATAACAAACATATGCATTTTATAAACGCACACATCATTTGAAGACTTGATCCGGCGTTGACTTAAATAACCCTCACAAATTTTTTTCTCTTCCATTTTCTCTTGCTTTTTTGAACTAATTTTATAGAATTCTTTAAGCATTAGTTTATTATTGATGTACATATAACTAGATGAAAAATGATATTATTTAAATAAACTATAATATTTGTACAAAGCCTATTTTATCTCTAATAATGTTATGTTTATTTAAAGAAAAAATAAAATATATATTTTTTAAAATATAAAATTAAATTTCCTTATTCACCATTTAAATTTGAAGCATTCAAAGAAAAGGAAGCAATATGATTCATTTCACGTCAATTGCAAAACAATCGGCTTTTGATCATGATGATGACTAACTAGCATTCATCTTGTGCACATGCACAAAGAAAAATAAAAATTTATATATTATATGTATGTATATAATATATAAAATTTTAATATTAGAATTAGATAATGGATGTATTACATTTTAAATTTTGACTCTATATAAATGTGTAATGTAAATGTAAATTATTTAACTTACGTATCAATCTTTATATTGATGCCATAAATTTTAATGGACAATATAATTTAGTAATTTAGATGGACCATAAAGTTAA